ATGGAGGAGCCAAAGAACTTATACACATGACACATGGACATGAACAATGGTAGAGGAACTGCTTGATGGAGTTGGGGGTGCTGGTTGGAGACGGGTAAAGGGGGAAAATTTGGGACAATTGTAATAGCCAAATCAATAAAATATAATTTTTTAAAAAGTATTAGGTTAAGTGTTTTACAGCTATTATAGAATATATTTGTATCTTGGATAAAAAGTCTAAACCAAAAGCTCTAATGAATAAAATTAATAAAACTGACTACATCAAAATAAAATTTTGTAGGTCAAAGACACTATACTTAAGATAGAATAACATATTTCAACACATAAGTGTTTCTATGCAGAATATACATATAAATTACTTCCACAAATTAGACAAACAACCCATAGAAATGTGGCCAAGGATATGAATAAACAAACTATTCTCCGTGGTAGAAACCTGAAATGCCAGCTACCATAGATGTTCAACCTTTCTAGAGATTACAGAAATACGAAGTAAATAAAAATGAGATATGCTTAAGTACCCAGTTGACAAACATTTAAGAAATTTGTATCAGGAGTTGGGTATATGGAAAAAATGAATCCACTCATATACTGTTGAAACACAACTTGTAGAACAAATTAAACACATATATTAAGGTTTTTTAACATAAGCATTTTCTGTGACCCAGCAGTTCTGTTAATCAGCATCTATCTAGGAGATACTTTCACTCAGTTGCAAAAGGAAACTTGTACAAGAATGTTCCTTGCAATGGCAAGAAAATGGAAACCACTCAAATGTCCTCCAAGTGAAGAATGGTTAAATAAGGTGTACTAGTTTATTCATACTAACATGCAAGAGTGAAAAATAATGGGGTATGCCTAAAAATTATTATAAAATTATCTTCAATATAGTGTTGTTGTGAAAAGACTAAGTTGCAGAATAAGATACATTCCAATTCTTTAAACACACGAACATAAAAAAAAAAATTTTTTTTCTGTGGCACCAGATATATGTGGAGCTCCTTGGCCTTATCCATATATAGTGTTTTTTAAAGACTTTTTAATTGTATTTTTTCCATTAACATTTCATATATAGTTTTATTAGTTTTTTTTTTACAAAGGTAAAAATCACACATTAATTGTATAATTGGAAGTTAATAAAAATGAAAATGTATTAGACTAAGTTTGCTCCTTCCAAAATTAGAGAATTTCAGCTACTCCAAATTAACAAAGAAATTAGAACATCTGAGGATAATATTATAGATGGTGGGAAAATTTAGCTTGGGTAACAGCAGACATTTTAATACATTCCAGTAGCTGATACTGCTGTAGGGCCATCTTTTCCAAGTAACAGATTGGACAAAAACGCAAGTACTGTAATTGCCAGCATACAGCCAGTATACGAGTATAAAACTGCCAAGTTTTTGATAGTAAAACAGGAAAGCGTAGTTGTGACTATAACTTAAGCTCTTCATAGGAAGAAACCGGTTTTTAGCTCTTCCCTTCAGTTTCTCGGGTAACAGGAACCACAATTGATAGGCAAGCATCGCCATCCAGTGGCCACGGCTCACATTGCAGAGTTCCTCTCGGCACCTTTTGTCCCCCAAATCTCAAACCAGAGGTTCTGTATTTTGGATATCTCTTAAAAGTAAAATGTTTTAGAAATTCAAGAGACCCACATAGGATTATAAATTTTTAAATTCTGACGAGTAAAGATATTTTAAAAGCCTACCTTCTGGAGGGGCGGTGCAGGGTGGTGGGTAATAAAGGAGAGAAAAAATGGGAAAACTGTAAAAGCGTAATCAATAAAATATATATTAGAAAAAGAAAGAAAAAGCCTACCATCTATTATCATTACCAGTTTGTAAAGAAACAGATATTTAAAACCAAAAAATCAGGGAGACCATAAACGTATAAAAAGGGATAATAATGAAAAAACAGTTGAAAATTGTACATGTATTTCATACATAAATATCTCATAACTGTATTAATAATTGAGTTGGTTAATTTTATGTGCCAACTCAATTGGGCCATAGGATGGATGCCCAGATAGGTGGTTAAGCATTACTTCTGAGTGTTTCTGTGAAGATGTTTCTGGAAGAGATTAGCATTTAAGTTGGGAGACTGAGCAAAGGAAACTTCTCTCCCCAATGTACGTAGGCATCATCCAACCTACCAGGGGCCCAAGTAGAAGCTAAAGACAGAGGAAGGTTGGAGAGGGCATAACCATGGCTCAGGGATGGTAGGGGTCACTGTAGTACCGTGCGCTTGGGCACTTCACAGCAATTTTGCAGTGGGCCAAGGAAAGTCTTTCATGGGGAGGTACCTCATAGGAGGTACTCTGCTGTGATGTGACGTTGCACCAGGGGGCTGCCGGAGGAAGCTGTTGGCTGCTCTGTGTTGCTAGCCACCAACTGTTGCAGGAGCTGGGTGCTGGAGACGCTCTTCAAGCACCGGGACCGAGGGATGATGACCTCTTTCCCTTACTATGTTTCTCCAGGAAAAAATATTTAAAGGGCCCCATATTTATTTTTTCAAAGAGGAAATAGAGAATGGATTTGGAGCTGACAGGCAATAAATTGATAACTGACATAATTGGCATGGGAGGATGTGAAAAATAGGCTTTCATTTGTGAAATTAGTGCTAGACAAGACCTGATAGACAAGATTGTTATGCTATTCTCTCCCTTACATGAACAAGATATGAGGATGCAGTGAGGCCTTCACTCTTAGAGATGGACAGTCAACTATAATGCCAACTGCTCTTAAAAGGGAAACACAACTCTGTTTCTGTAATGTTCTATCTGCTTTGAGAAAGTCTTTCATGCACAGGGCCAGTAGGTACATCTAAAAGGACAGAGAGCTAGAAATTTCCTAAACTTACATGTCTACAGATCACGTGATCCTTACTTTCTAATGAATGTTTTAAAGTAAATGTCTATGTGACAAAATTTGGCTTGAGACTTGCTTTTATTATAACCAAGTAATGAAGTTGTGGGGCTTAGTCCACCATGACCAAGGAGAAGTTTTTGGTGGGTATCATCATCTGCTAAAAACAACCTAAGAGTTGTGCAGAACTGTTTTGGATCAGCTTAAGCTCCTTGGGTCCTTTAGCAGCACAGGCACCCAAGCAGTCTCTCACCTCTGGGCCTTTCTCCTTGCTGTGCCCCTTGTCTAAGAACACTCTTCCCAGGATATCTAATGGCTCACACTTTCATTTTTTCATGCCTTGGCTCCTTATATGTTAGTTGTATCCTCTGACAACTAACTGTAACACGACAGAATTAAATGGGCAAGGATTTTAGTAGGGGAAATACTCTGTAAGAAAAAATGGAGGTTGGGCGGAGCCTGGGAAAGGTGTGAGCTCTGTCAGGCTTTGATGCAAGTCTGACCCTCAGTGACAGAGGGAAAGGGGAGCTGGGTAAAAGTGTTGTAGAGTGCAGTATAGTCTAGGGAAGGCTTGGTAAGGCCACTGGGGAGTTTTCCAGCCAAAGCTGACCATCAGAGGAGCCCTTCATTCTCAGGAACAGGTCTGCCTGAGTGTGTTTTCCTGCTTCACTTGCTGAGTCTCTGCGAGCAGTCTAAAGGAAGCATGGCCTCAGTGTAAACAGATGATAGAGTTCATAGCCTAGCAGACGGTTGATCTCATAAATTTGGCTAATTATATTCCCTGTAGTTGAAAGCCTTCGAGGAGCAGTTTCATGGCTACCACATTTTATCAATCAGTTTTCCCTCATCACCCTTTGTAAAACAGCCCCACAGAATGGTAAAACATCAACCACATTTCTCCGTGGAACAGTAAAAACACGTTTCACAGACTGACTACAAGGCACATTCCAGAACAACAAAGTAACTGGTCTTGGGAGTATATTTAAACTGGATTAGTTGTAGGGATCAAGCAATGTAAGGAGAATGAGGGGAAAAAATAGAAGCAAGGGAAGGAGGAAATAGTTTGCCCTCAGCATTTGGGACTAGGATTTGGGAAGGCTGTCCTGGATCATAATCTGTTGCAAGATCCTCCAGGCCGTGAAGTCCAAACACCTCATTTATGAAAAAAAAAATTCATTTTGTGTATTAATTTTTTTTACCTCCTTATTTTGGAGGTGAGATCCAGAGAAGGGAGACAGTTTCCCAATACCATGTAGCAAGTCAGTAGCAGAGTCAGGACTGGAACCCAGGTCCCTACACTCCGGAGTCATTCATTCCTAAGGGAGTCCTCCCTTGTTCCTGGTGGCATGTTAAAACCTAGTACAAAATTGTTGAGGATCATCTGAATAAACTGAAGTTCCTGCCTTCTGGAGTTGAAACTTAGAAAATGAGGAGTTTGACAGACATTTGCAGGGAGAGGAGGCAGTGGGCAAAGCAGGGAGGCCTGAAACAGCACTGGGCTTCAAAAATTACAAGTAGAACCACCTCAGCCAATTGGAGGACAGGTTGAGGGGTCAAGGTGACTTCGGGGGAGGATGTACTGAAAACAGCAGGGAATCGTTGCAGGCTTTTGGGCAGCGAATGATAATAGTAAGAGCTACATTCTATCTCATCTCACTGTGGCTGGAGCACGGATTGAGTGGCTTGATCCTCACGGGAGCAGGAACAGCTGCAACTAGGTAAGAAATGACGGGAGACAGTGGCAAAGGGAGTAAAAGAGGGTAGGGGAGAGCACTACACTGGAGTTGCACAGAGTGCGCCACACCTGAAGTTCTACCTCTGCTGATTGCTAAGAAGTGAAGAGTCTTGCAACAAAATGAAAGCGCTCGCCAGAGGAAATGCTCAGCAAACGCGCTTTGTGCGGGAAGGGAAATGAGTTCAGGCCACCTGATTGAGCTCGGACAAAGATCGCGCACTAGGCGAGCAGGGCCACGACTGGCTCTCCAAGGTCCGCTCCCTTAGGTTCGAATACCTGGCTCTGCCCCGCCCTCCTGCCAGCCTGGGACCTCGGCTGCCCTCAGCACCTTTGCCTTCAGCCAGTAGTAAACCTGGTCGCAGGCTTTTCCGCTGGTAGTGGGGTCAAGGGTCACGCAAGATGGCGGCGCCCAGGAGCCGCTGAGGCGCGAGGCAGAGAATGGGACAGGCGACGTTGGCGCCGGGGGCTCGGCTGGGGCGCTGGCTAAGCGGGCCGGGGCTGGGACCATGGCGAGGGCACTGGACTGCGGCGGGGCGCTCGCGGAGCCGGCGCGAGGCGGCGGAGGCCGAGGCGGATGCGCCTGTGTTCCAGTACGTGGGCCAGCGCGCGGCTCGCGTCGACCGCATCTTCGTATGGGGTTTCAGCTTCTCCGGGGCGCTGGGGGTGCCCACCTTCGTGCTGCCCGGCTCCGGGCCCCAGCCCCGTGGCGGCTTGCGGCCGCGCCGCAGGATTCAGCCCGTGCCCTACCGCCTGGAGCTGGATCAAAAGGTGCAACCTCTTCCTTCCCCCTACCGAGGCACTTGGCTCTGTTTGAGAAGTTGGGGACATTAGGTGGTTAAACTTCGGGGAGGACGACCCCGGAGCAGGCAGTAGGGCCAGGAGGGGAAGGCGTTAGGGGCGCTGCCAGTGTTAACCGAATGGCTGAAATGGGCCAGGTGTTGTCGCCCGCTCGTGTCTGCAAGTCACCCCAGAAAGCGGGGGTTGTCACCACCGTTACAGAGAAGGAAAGGGAGGCTCGCTCAGAGAGGTTAAGGGACAGGTCCCAGGGCTCACAGCTGGTAGGTGCACGTACAGTGGAATTCTCACTCGGGCAAGTGGGACTCCCAAAGTTCCAGTTAGGAAAGACGACTTTAAAGGGGCAGAGAAAATGGGCCAGGTGGAGTCGGTGAACAACTTGGGAAGGAAGGATTACTGGAGCAGTAACCGGAATGAGAGAGGAAGGGCGAGTGGCCTGAACGCGCTAGGGTGGTTTGGCACAGGAGGCCTCTGACTTGACTCAGATTGAAAAAGATCACAGAGCAAAGGATAGCTTCAGTCGGGCGGTTATCTCGGAAGCCAGCACTCAGAGAGCAGAAATAGGTGCTTAGGGGTGAATGGCTGTGGGAATCCTGGTGGGTGATGAAAAAGAAGCAGATTTGACAAGTTTAACCCCTGACTTCGGTCAAGGATAACAAACGGTCTTTTAACTGGAAAGGGGAAATCAAGAGAAACAGGGAGGTTAAGCTCAAGGTGACGAAAAGCTGGGTTGTTTACCTCTTCTTAGTGTTGAGCTGTAAGTTAATGTATTTCTGGCCATTGGTTCTTAATCACATATATGATGATGCAAATATTTTCTGCCAGTTTGTGTCTTTTTTAAAAAAAATTAATAGTGACCTTTGAAGAGCAGCCTTTTAATTTTGATGAAATTAAGTTGATCAGCTTTTCTCCTGTGGATCACGTTTTTGGTATCTAAGAAATCTTTGCCTAATCTTGGCTAACAAAGATAATTCTCTTCTAGGAGATTTTTAGTTTTAGTTCTTATATTTAGGTCTGTGAGCCAGCCATTTAAGTTGATTTTTTTTGTGTATACTATGGGGTAAGGTTTTTTTGTATGTGGGAAATGTGAGTCTTCCACCTTTGTTGTTGTTTTTATAAAATTGTTTTAGCTATTCTGGGTCTTTTGCTTTTCCATATGAATTTTAGGATTGGCTCACCAGTTTCTGCAGAAATACTTGTTGGGATATTGATAGGGATTATGTTGAATCTGTAGATCGATTTGGACCCAAATACCATCTAACAATTTTGTGTCTTCCTTTCTATGAACATGAACTATCTTCCCATTTATTTAGATCTGTATTTTCTTTCAACTTGTTTTGCAGTTTTCACTGTACAACTCTTGCATTTCTTTAGTTAAATTTATTCCTAAGCATTTTATTCTTTCTGATGCTATTGTAAATAGAATTTATTCTAAATTTAATTTTTGGAGTGTTCATTGCTAGTATGTGGATATACAGTTGGTTTTTCTATATTGGCCTTATTTCTTGTGACCTTGCTGAACTTAGAAAGATTTTTGTGTATTTCTTAGGATTTTCTATATATAGAATGATGTTGTCTGTGAATAAAAACAGTTTTACATCTTTATTCCCATTTTGAGTGCTTTTTATTTCTTTTTCTTGCCTGATTGCACTGTTATATACAAATGGTGAACACCAACATCCTTGCCTTATTTTTGATCATAGGGAAATAGCATTAAGTTTTTCACCATTAAGTATGATGTTTATAGATCTCTTTTATCAAATTGAGGATGTTCGCTTCTGGTCCTATTTTGTTGAGAGTTTCTTTGCTTTTTCAAAGTCATGATGGGACTGGATTTTTTCAAGTGCTTTTTCTCTGTCTACTAAGGTGATTGTGTGGTTTTGTCTTTTATTCTAGTAATAGGATATATGCCATTAATTAATCTTTGGATATTAAACCAATCTTGTATTGCTTGATTTGGTTTGCTAATATTTTGTTGAGAATATTTTTCTTGTGGTTTCTTTGTCTGGTTTTGGTATCAGGGTAATGCTGTTCTCATAAAATGAGTTGCCGGAAGAGTTTTAAAGAATTGGTATTATGCTCTACTTAAATGTTTGGTAGAATTCACCAATGAGGTAGGTCATTTGGGCCTGGGCTTTTCTTTGTATGAAGAGGTTTCTGGGTTATTTATTTTTATGTTTATTTTTTTACTAATTCAATTTTTTAAACTTGTTATAGGTGTATTAAGCCTTTTTACTTCTTCTTGAGTCAGCTTTGGTAATTTGTGTCATTCTGGGAATTTGTCCATTTTGTGTCACTTATCTAATTTGTTGGCATAAAGTTGCTTATAGTATTCACTTACAATCTTTTATGTTTCTATAGGGTGGGTAGTGATATCTCTTTTTTCATCATTTAGTCTAGCTTAATATTTGTTAACATTTGGTTTAATTATTTTTTTCTGTTGTTTTTCAGTTTTTTGTTTCATTGATTTCCAGTTGAAGTTTTATTACTTACTTCCTTCTGCTTGCTTTAGATTTAGTTGGCTCTTCTTTATTAGTTTCTTAAGGTGATAGGTTAGGCTATTGTAGGTGTTTTTTCTTTTTTTTAATGTAACTGTTTAAAGCTGTAAGTTTTCCTATAAACACTGTTTAGCTGCACCTCATAAACTCTGATATGTTGTATTTTTGTCTCATTCACCTTAAAATATTTATTTTCTTTTGTTATTTCTTCTTTGACCCATGAGTTATTTAGAAGTATTTAATTTCTAAATACTGTGGATTTCCTAATTTCTTTATTTTATTGATTTTCAATTTAATTCTTTTGTGGTTGGAAAATGTACTTTATTTAATTTTAGTTCTTTTTTAAAAAATATTTTTTATTTATTTATTTTTAGAGATAGAGGAAGGCAGGGAGAAAAAGGGAGAGAAACATTTATGTGAGAGAGAAACATCAATGGGTTGCCTCTTGCATATTCCCCACCCAGGGACCGAACTCAAAACCCAGGCCTGTTCTCTGACTGGGAGTCGAATCAGCGACCTTTGACTTTGCAGGACAACTCCCAACCGATTTACACTGGTCAGGGCTAATTTTAGTTCTTTTAAATATGTTGAAACTTTGTTTTATAATCTAACGTGTGCTAGAGAACTATGTGCATTTTGCTGTTGTTTGGGTGGATGTCAGATTATAGATGACAGGTCATGTTGGTCAATAGTGTTTAGGTTTTTATTTCCTTTATGATTTTCTGCTTATTTGTTTTATCAGCTGTTGATGGTGGAATTTGACATCTTCAATTGATGTTGAATTGTCTGTTTCTCCATTCAGTTCTGTCAGCTTTTGTTTCATGTATTTTGTGGCTTTTTTGCTAAGGTGCATACATATTTATAGTTGTATTTCTTGGTGCATTGATATATTGATTCTTTTATCATTATAAAATGTCTTCTTTGTCTTTAGTAACATTTTTTTTTGTTTTCAATTCTGTTTTGTCTGATACTAGTGTAGCTACTCCAGCTCTCATGTCATTGCTGTTTGCCTGTTACATATCATTTGCTAACTTCACATTTTCTGCCTGTTTGTGTCTTTGAATGTAAATGTGTCTCTTTTGGCCGCATATAGTTAGATCCTGTTTCTCTCTCTCTCTTTTTATCCATTCTGCCAATTTCTGCCTTTCAACAGGAGTGCTTAACCCATTGGTGTTTAATGTAATTTACTAAAGGTAGGCTATTTGCCTGCCATCTTGTTATTTGTCTGATGCCTTTTTTATTTCTCTGCCCCTCCATTTTTGCCTTCTTTTGTGTAAAATGTCTATTTCTTAGTGTACCACTTGAATTCCCTTGTTTTTTCTTTTTTCCCCTTTGTTATTTCTTTTACTGTTTTTTGAAGTTTTTTTTCCTAAATGGTTGTCATTGGGTTACATTTTAACTTAAAGCAATCTAATTCAGATTAATACTAAGTTTCAATGCTAAACAAAAACTTTATTTCTTTATAGCTCCAACCCTTCCTGCTCTACTCTGCTATTATTGTCATAAATTACATATTTATACCTTTTGTGTCCGTTAATACATATTTATAATTATTGCTTTATGCAGTTTTCTTTTAAATCAGGAGAAAAAGTTACAGACAGAAAATACATTTATACTGTCTTTTATATTTTATCCAATAAAGGTGTATTTACTTATGAAGTGACTTTTACTAGTGCTCTTTGTTTCTTCATGTGGGTTTGAGTTACTGTCTAGTGTCCTTTTATTTCAGACTCAGGACTTCCTTTAGTGTTTCTTATATGGCAGGTCTGTTAGTAATGAATTCTTTTATTTTTTGCATATTAAGTAGTAGCTTTATTTCTTCTTTCTAAAAGTATTTTTTAAAAATAGCTTTATGTTGCTCTGGGTGGTGTGGCTCAATGGATTGAGCATTGACCTATGAGCCAAAGGGTCACCGGTTCAATTCCCAGTCAGGGCACATGCCTGGGTTGCGGGCCAGGTCCCCAAGTAGGGGACATGTGAGAGGTAACCACACATTTATGTTTCTCTCCTTCTTTGTCCCTCTCTTCCCCTCTGTCTAAAAATAAATAAATAAAATCTTTTAAAAAATAAAAATAGCTTTATTGATATATAATTCACACACCAAACAATTCACCCATTTAAAGTGTATAGTCAATGGCTTTTGGTATATTACATATTAGTTTCTAAAACTGTGGTAAAAAAAAAATGTGGTAAGTGTAATTCATTGGTATTAATTACTTCAGTGTTGTAGCAGCCATCACCACTATTTATTTCTAAAACTTTTTTTTTTTTAGATTTTATTTATTTACTTTAGAGAGAGGAGAAGGGAGGGCGAAAGAGAGGGAGAGAAACAGCAATGTGCGGGAGACACATTGTTTGGCTGCCCCTCACACGCCCCCAGGCAGGGACCTGGCCCGCAACCAAGACATGTGCCCTGATTGGGAATTGAACTGGCAACCTTTTGGTTCATAGGCTGGCACTCAGTCCACTGAGCCA